ACAGACACACACAGACACACACACATACACACAGAGAACTAGTATGACACATACACACATACGTACACACATACACACACACACACACACACACAGGAGCAGGAATTACCCAAGGGAGAGACCCAGCGGGCACGCGTCCAGCCTGCCTCCGAGGGCGCCCTCCCCTTGACCATGAGAGCCGCCCTCGTCACAAATCAAGACGTCTGTCCCCGCTTATCTTCACCCTGAACTGCGCCCACTCTGTCACCGCCGACCGCTGTCCCCACAGAATAAGACAGACAGACAGACGGTGTAAAACCACATTACAAGAAGGCACTGCTCACTGTCCGAACCATTCGAGCCTCTTGTTCCTGCTTCTCAGTTCTTCCCTACACCCCGTTTGGGGGCGGGACACGGACCCTCCCAGGCCGGGACAGCCACGTGAATGAGTACCGGCTTCCGATACAGAAGTGTCCGTCCCCCCCCTCATGCTCTTTGAAGATATGGCATATCTGCACCGAAACGAGAATTTGAGCGATTTAGATGAAATTCGCGAGAGCCAAGCCGCCACGGCGCCACGCTACGTATAATAACGGCGGGGTTTTTTTTGTTTGTTTTGTTGTTGTTTTTTGCAATTTTGAAGAAGCCACAGAGAGAAACCGTGGAGGCTATGGCAAGAGACTGACACGGTCCGCCCAGCTCCGTGTTCGGGATTTCAGATCTTAGATCCTGGAGTTTCGCTTAATTTTTTTTTTTTTTTTGGTGTTTTTTGTTTGTTTTGTGAACTCGAAATGGAGAATATTTCCCCATTGATTTTTATATATAGAAAAGTGGAAGGGAGGGGGAGAGACACAGAGAGAGAAACACTGATGTGAGAGAGACAGCGATTGGTTGCCGCCCTACGTGACCTTGATCAGATTCGAGACTGAGACCCTTCAGTCCACAGATCGACAGCGCTCTATCCACTGACCCACACCGACCAGGGTTCCCTTAATTTTTTTTTAAGAGTAGCCGCTGCCACTATTTCCTGAGCACCTACTATGTGCCGGCCAGTCTGTCCGGTGCCCTCTCTGCCCGTACCTGTGTCACAGACGGAGGATGAGGCCTGGGGGACACGGTGTCCCCGCCGTTTTCCAACCTTCGCCACGCGATGCCGCTTGCCCTTACCTGAACGTCGTTCGCTCTTTTCAATCCCGTTTTGTGCAAAAGTGTATGTTGGCGAAACCCATTACCTTGGCGACGGTCTCCCTGTCTCCCGTTTGCTCCAACCCAGGCCGCCTCCCACCCGAGGATGCGCTCAGAGGCCCCGCCTCCTGGAGGCGGAGCCCCGGGGTCAGCCACGTGATAGAAGGAAGTGCAGGTCCCAGTCCGGCTTCCAGCCCCAACCCCACCCACCACCCCTCCGGCCCAAACCACACCTCCGAACCACCCTCTGCCCTCCGAGTGAGCAAAGCAGCCCACGTCCACCCTGCCCACTGGTGTGCACGAGAAGCAAGAGAGAGACACGTGGCCCTGCCTAGTGGCTTAGTGGGTTTGAGTCGTGGTCGGCAAACTGCGGCTCGCGAGCCACAGGCGGCTCTTTGGCCCCTCGAGAGTGGCTCTTCCACAAAACACCACGGCCTGGGCGAGTCTATGTGGAAGAAGTGGCGTTCGAAGACGTTTACGTTTACAAAAATGTGGCTCTCCAATGAAATGTCAATCATTGTACTGTGGATATTTGGCTCTGCGGACTCATGAGTTTGCTGACCACGGGTTAGAGCCTCGGCCCCCTACGCTTGAGGCTGCGGGTTCGATCCCCAGTCGGTACAAGCAACACACGGTGAATGCATCAACCCATGGAACAACAGATGGATGTGTCTCTCTCTCTGAACACGAAAACACAAATGGGTTTGTTTTTTTTTTAAAAAAGAGAGAGACATAGGCATGCAATGAAAGAGAGAAGCTGGCAGACTGGGGTGAATGGGGTGGGGGCAGAGATGGGCTAAAAGAGACCAATAGCGGGGAGGCAGAGAAGGAGCATATATAAAAAACTTTCAACAATAAAGGTTATTTAAAAAGAAAAAATGGGAACAATAGGACACATCGGTCTCGGGGAGGGGGGATGTTGGAAGGCACCCCAGCTGGTTTCTAAATTCCTAGGCCTGCAGCCATCAGCCTGGGGGTGTCACCTCACCACGTCTGTCCCGAGTCCCCAAGGATGAGACCCTTATTTAGAAACAAATGCCTGATGTGGGGTGACAGTCAGCCCAGATCCGTGGTCGGCAATCCACTGCTCGAGAGCCACAGGCGGTTCTGTGGCCCCTGGCGTGTGGCTCTTCCACAAAATACCACGGCCTGGGCGGGTCTGTGTTGAAGAAGTGGCGTGAGAAGAAGTTGAAGTTGAAAAAAATGTGGCTCTCCAAAGACATGTCCATCGTTGTGCTGTTGCTACTTGGCTCTGTGGACTCATGGGTCAGGACAAGGCTGACTCTCGGGCGGAAGGAGCGGGGTGGTGGCCCGGAGACCCAGGCACTGGCCGCCTCACCATCCCGGTGGCAGAGGGGGGCCGGCCCGGAGGGCGCCGCCCTGTGATCTCCACGCCTGGCTATAAAAGGCAGAGGCTGCGGCCCCAGGGCACGTGACCCCCTTTCTAAATCAAGCTCCCCACTCAGGGTCAGCTGACCGGGGCGGGGGCCGTCCTTCGCGACCCGGGGAAGACAGAGACAAGCTCTGATGGGCCACACGAAGCCGGGGCCGCCCCGCTGACCTCCTTGGCTCCCAGCCGCACACCTGCAGGTCTGCCCCACCTGACCCCTGGCCCCGGCCTGGGAGCTGGTTACATTTCATTAAAAGAAACAGCCATCCCGAAGTGATTAAAATTTTAAAAAAAAAAAAAAAAAAAGGAAGGGGAGGAGAAGGAAGAGGATAAATGTTAAGATGGGATAATGGCTCTGGCCGGTTCTGCTCAGTGGCTAGAGCATTGGCCCAAGGAATGAAGGATCCTGGGTTCGATTGTGGGTTGCGGGCTCCATCCCAAGTAGGGGGCATGCAGGAGGCAGCCGATCCATGATTCTCTTTCATCACTGATGTTTCTCTCTCTCTCTCTCTCTCCCTCTCCCCTCCTCCCTGAGATCAGTAAAAATAAAAATAAAAAAACACGATGGGACTCAGTTTAGCAGCAAGGCGCTGGATTCCCTGAGAGAAAATGGGGGAGTCAGGGCCCATTCTAGAACTCAAGAGCCAAAAAGCACCTAAGACGAGCACACAGAAGGCAAGAGAACCAGATTCTGCCCGGCTGGTGTGGCTCAGTGGTTGAGCAATGACCTACGAACCAGGAGGTCACGGTTCGATTCCCGGTCAAGGACACACACCCGGGTTGTGGGATCGATCCCCAAGAGGGGGCGTGCAGGAGGCAGCCGATCCATGATTCTCTCTCCTCATTGATGTTTCTCTCACTCTCCCTCTCCCTTCCTCTCTGACATTAAAAAAAATTTTTTTTTAAAGAGAGAGAGAGAGAGAGAGAGAGAACCAGGCCCTCCCACAGGAGCCGCCCCATCCCTCCCTCCCGGCACATGGCCGGCAAATAACTTGCCCGGAGCAACCAACCAAGGCCATGGGCCAAGCCTCGGCTTTGAAGACCATTTCCCTCCTCCTCCTCCTCCATCCGGGGCCCCGCCTTCTTGGACAAGGAGAGCGGGGAGCTACCACCCAGGGCGCACCCTCCCTGCCAGCTGGGAGCCGGACGTGGGGGTGGTGACAGGGCCCTGGGTAGCAGCGAGCCGTGGGAATGACCCCGGGAACCCCGTCTTTCACAATCCCGGGGCCGCTTGGCCGGCGCGGCCCTGGGATGACACGCTGTTCGCTGCGCAAGGGGAACGCGTCTCTCCCGACAATAAATCTCCCCCAGAGGAGGTGCCGCGCCGGCCCCCGGGGTGACGGCCAAGAGCCGGAGGCCGCGCCCGGGATGGATGCGGTGGTGCCAGCGGCCCTGCCTGCCGTGGGGGCACCGGCCTGGAGGCCGCCTTTGCCTTTTATCTTTATCTTATTTTACTTTTTATTTATTTTAAAAATTATATATTTTATTGATTTTTTTTTACAGAGAGGAAGGGAGAGGGATAGAGCGCTAGAAACATGGATGAGAGAGGAACATCGATCAGCTGCCTTCTGCACACCCCCTACTGGGGATGTGCCCGCAACCAAGGTACATGCCCTTGACCTGAATCGAACCCGGGACCTTTCAGTCCGCAGGCAGACGCTCTATCCACTGAGCCACACCGGTTTCAGCTTATTTTACTTTTTAAATCCCCATCCGAGCATAGGTCCCCATGGATCTTGTAGAGAGAGTGGGAGAGAGAGACAGAGACAGAGACAGAGACAGACATATTGACGTGAGAGAAACACATCCATCGGTCGCCTCCCGCCCACGGCCCGGGGCCCTGGATGAGCCCGCTACCCAGGTACGTGCCCTTGACCCCCGCATCGAACCCGGGACCGTTGAGGTCCACGAGCCCAAGCTCTCCCCACGAAGCCACACCGGCCAGGACCCGGCGCATCCTTTCTAAGAAGCATGTGATGTGACGGGACATGGTCTCCGTGGCAACCACGCCCGCCACGCCCTGCATCCTTTGAGTCCCCGGAAGCGACAGAAAGCCAGCCAAGACTGAGGTGACCAGAGACGTCCTGCTTTTGGCAGGAAGGACAGTCTGGATTTTTAACCATGTGTCCCCAAAGTCGGAACTTTTTTTTTTTTTTTTAAATGTCTCAGGACGCGGGACAGATGGTTAAAAATCGGGGCTGTCCTGCCAAAAGCGGGACGTCTGGGTCACCTTAGCCAAGACCCCCTCCCTGCTCCCCCCCCCCCAAAAAAAAACCCTCCCCACGGCGGGTCCTCCATGCAAGACCACCCCGCCGCCCAGCGTGCAAGCCGTGCACGTGGAAGGGGAGGGAGAGGGGGTGGGACGGGGAGGAGCTGGGGGGGAGGGAAGGGGAGGGGAGGGGAGCAGAAAGGAAGCGGGGGGGGGGGGGGGGGCGGCGGGCCTTACTTTTCTGGCAGTGGTCCTGGGTCCAGCAGCGGTAGTTGTACTCGTTGTTGATGGAGGTGCGGTTGCAGGTGGAGGTGCCCTCCAGGGCGCCGGGGCACACGTCCCCGCACTCCTTGGGGTTCTTGTTGCCCGCCACGTAGTTGTTGGACGCGGAGTCGAGGACGAGGGACCAGTCCACGGTGGACACGTAGCACAGGTCGGCGTTCTTCTCGATGCGCACGGCGCCGCGCGTGATGTTGCGCAGGTTGCGCAGGCCCAGGTCCTTCAGGCTGGCCATCTCGAAGACCACCAGCGCGTAGTTGTAGAAGAGCTTCCAGCCGCGGATGACCGTGAGGTTGGGGAACAGGTCGCCGATGCTCTCCAGGCCGGCCACGCGGAACAGCAGCAGGTACTCGGTGATGACCGTGAGCTTGGGGAAGCGGTAGCTGCGGTAGTCGTCGCCCTTGGAGATGAGCAGGATGTGCAGGTAGCCCTCGATCACCGTGCAGTTCTCCAGGCGCTTCAGCTGCCGGAAGTCGTTGCGGATGTCGATGCCCGGGCCGCAGACTGCAGAGGGGGAAGAGACGCGAGGGGGCGAGACGTGTGTGAGTGACAGGAAGCCCTTGTTATTTATTTATTTATTTATTTTTTAAGTAAATCCGTTTTATTTTTTTAAATATATATTTTTAGTGATTTTTTTTTTTTTTTTACAGAGAGGAGGAGAGAGGGAGAGAGAGCTAGAAACGTCGATGAGAGAGAAACATCGACCAGCTGCCTCTTGCACACCCCCCACTGGGGATGTGCCCGCAACCAAGGTACCTGCCCTTGATAGGAATCGAACCCGGGATGACCTTTCCGTCCGCAGGCCGACGCTCTATCCACTGAGCCAAACCGGTTTCAGCCAGCCCTTGTTATTTTTAATTTTTGTTTCTGTTGCTCATTCTCACCCGAGGATGTTTTCCCATCCATTTTTTTAAAAAAAATATTGATTTTTTTATTTTATTTTATTTTTTTTACAGAGAGGAAGGGAGAGGGATAGAGATAGAAACATCGATGGGAGAGAAACATCCATCGGCTGTCTCCTGCACACCCCCCACCGGGGATGTGCCCGCAACCAAGGCACATGCCCTTGACGGGAATTGAACCTGGGACCCTTCAGTCCACAGGCCGATGCTCTGAGAGAGAAAGAGAGAGAAACACAAGGCGGCCTGCTTTCAGGAAACCTAGATTGATCCCCAGTAGAGGGTGTGCAGGAGGCAGCTGATCCATGATTCTCTCTCTTTCTTCCTCTCCTTCTCTGAAATCAATTAAAAAATATTTTTTTAAAAGCCATATTTCCACTGTGCTTAATGAATAAAAAAAGAAAAAAAGAAAGAATGGCCCTAATTGATTTGGCTCAGTGGATAGAGCATTGACCTGAGGACTAAAGGGTCCCAGGTTCGATTCTGGTCAAGGGCATGTACCTTGGTTGCAGGCACATCCCTAGTAAGGGGTGTGCAGGAGGCAGCTGATCAATGGTTCTCTCTCATCGATGTTTCTCTCTGTCCTTCTCCCTTTCTCTCTGTAAAAAATCAATAATATATATATATATATATTTTATTTACTTTATTTTTTTTAAGGGGAAAGGGGTAGAGAGAGAGGGTGCCTAGACCCCTCAGGCCTCCATGGCTGCTGAGTCGGCAGCCCCACTCGCCAGCCACCTAAGATCTGAGCGAACCCTCCATAAGCGCATTCATTCCACCCACACCTACTCAGTACATGCAACCCGCCACACACACACACACACACACACACACACACACACACGCAAGCACACACGCACACGCACAAAAGATGGGGCTGGCAACGCTGTTATGATAACAAACACTGATACTGCTATCGTCGAATTAGTTCGAGTGGAATGCTCTGTGTTAAGTGTAAACAGACGCAGTTCATGTTAAGCCTTTTATCTCCACGTGTCAACGGGAATGTGTTTACATTGTATATATACATGCGTCTCTCCCCAGACACCCGTCCCCGCCGCCCCGGCAGGCTCTGGAACGGGAGGCGATGGTGAGGATGGAAGCGAGGGACTGCCTCGCACGGGGGATGCTGGGAATGAGACATTAAACGCCAAGAGTCACCGTCAATGGGCATAAGGGTCCTCCGGTACCCTATGCGAGAGCCACTGCTACCCGCCGTATTACCAGAACCGAACGGGTCATGCGTGCAAAGAGGCAGTCCTGGCCCTGAGGGGGTGGCCCAGTTAGTCATCAGAGCATCATCCTGACACACCAAGGTGGGGGGTTCCATCCCCGATCACAGTGTGAACAAGAATCAACCAAAGGTCTTAGCCATCGTGGCTCAGTGGTTAGAACGCCAGCCTGCGCCCCCCTAGAGGGTCACGGGTTTGATTCCCGGTCAAGGGCTCAAGCCTGGGTTTTGGGTCCAATTCCACGCCCTGCTTGGGGCACCTGCAGGAGGCAATCAGGGGATGGGGTGCTCTCCCATCAATGCTCCCCTCGCTCTCCTCTCCCTGGTTTGCCTCCTCTCCCCTCCCTTCTATTCTCTCTTAAAAAAAAAAAAAAATCAATGGAAAGTTATGTGTTTGGATACTTGGGTGCAAAAAATAAATAAATAAATAAATAAATAAATAAATAAAAATAAAAAGGCACGGGTGTCGGAGGTGCGAACAAGATTTGGGAGATTCGATTGGATATCATTTCTGGATGTGCTAACGGGGTGTTGTGGCCGCCTGAAAGAAGCAAAAAATAAAACCTCCAGGTGGCCTCGGACCATGCTCATCAGGGAGGCTTCGTAGTCGTAAAGGGGCCAGAGGTGAGCCCCCCAAACTGGGTTTGTGTCCACATTTATTTTTTTTTATTTTTTTTTAAATATATATATATTAATTTCAGAGAGGAAGGGAGAGAGGGAGAGAGAGAAACATCAATGATGAGAATCACTGATCAGTTGCGTGGCTCAGTGGTTGAGTGTCCACCTAGGAACCAGGGGGTCACGGTTCGATTCCCAGTCAGGGCACAGACCCCGGATATGGGCTCCATCCCCAGTATGGGGTGTGCAGGAGGCAGCTGATCCATGATTCTCTCTCATCAATGTTTCCCTCGCTCTCCCTCTCTCTTCCTCCTCTCTGAAATCAGTAACAATAGAATCTATATTTATACATAAAGAGTCTCCCTATCAGACAGGGTCTGCTGAACACCCTGGCTGCTCTACGCCGGGCTATTCTGGCCGAGTGACAGGAATGATGTCACGGACACCCCGATGGCAGGGCAGCGTGGCGAGGCCCTAACACGCCTTCTGAGTCATCTTTCCCCGACACCTCGTCTCTTCCTGCAGCTGACCGGTGCCAAGACTGAGGACAAATCCTGTCTGATTCATCCACCTGTGACCTGGCCCTGGATCGCCAAGATCTAAGCGCCCCGGGGTCATCTGTATCCATCAGTGCTTCTCCTTGAAAGGGACACACACACACACACACACACACACACACACACACACACGAGTCCTGGCCAGTGTGGCTCAGTGGATAGAGCACTGTCCTGCAAGATCCAAGGGTCCTGGGTTTGACTCCGGTCAAGGGCACGTGCCTCTGTTGCAAGCTCCTCATTGGCCCTGGTCAGGGTGCGCGCAGGAGGCAACCAACCGATGTGTCTCTCTCACATGGATGTTTCTCTCTGTCTCTCCCTCTCTTCTACTCTCTTTAAAAATCAAGGGAAACATATCCTCGGGAGAGAATTCCACACACACACACACACACACACACACACACACACACACGCGCGCGCGCGCGACAGAAAAATGAACGGTACGCGCGACCTAGAGAGAGAGGAAACAGCCCAGTAAATATGAAAAACGGCCATTCTGTCCTGCTTTTAAGAGCAAGTGACTTAATTTCACTAACATTGATTTTTCCCCCAGGGCGATTTAATTTCGCCAACACCGCCTGAGCTCCTGATGCCACTCGGCGGTGACATCTGGGCCGGCCGCAGTCACCACGCACAGCGCAGAGGGAGGGAGGAGGCGGGGGAAGGGGGGGGGGAGAGAAGTTGCTGAGATCCGCGTGAAGGGGAGCTCACACATGGCTCAGAGGTTGAGGCTGGCTTCTTCCTTAAAACCTGGGTCTCTTGGACAATTTGATAAAGCTAGGCCACTTCTCAAAAGACAAAACAAAATAAAACAAAAAAACAGTGGCCCCCCAGCTGGTGTGGCTCAGGGGATAGAGCGTCGGCCTGCAGACTGGAGGGTCCTGGGTTCGATTCCAGTCAAGGGCCCATGCCCGGGTTGTGAGCTCGATTCCCAGGAGTGGGGCGTGCAGGAGGCAACCGATCCATGGTTCTCTCTCATCATGGATGTTTCTCTCTCTCTCTCTCTCTCTCCCTTTCCCTTCCTCTCTGAAATCAATAAAAGTATATTTTTTAAAAATATATACATATAGTGCCCTAGATCAGTGGTTGGCAAACTCATGAGTCCACAGAGCCAAATATCAACAGGAAGACGATGGACATTTCTTTGGAGAGCCCAATTTTTAAACGTAACCTGCTTCTAACGCCACTTCTTCAAAAACAGACCCGCCCAGGCCGTGGTATTTTGTGCAAGAGCCGCACTCAAAGGGCCAAAGAGCCGCAGGTGGCTCCGCAAGCCGCGGTTTGCCGACCAGTGCCCTAGATGGAGAGAGCCATGTTTCTTTCTCTCGTGTCCTCTCCTTCTCTCTCTCCCTCCTCCCTCTCCCCTGCCACGTTATCTAAAAAGCCGGCAGGAAAAAAATATCCTTACTCCTTGGGTGAGAAATTAAAAAGAAAAAAACAAGAAACACATGAGCTATGGCGAGACGCATGCAGCAGAGGGGGCACCTGGGGGATAAACCAGGAGACAGGAAAACGCCTCTCCAGCTGTGACGAGCCTCTGGGAGATCTATCGGGGAGGCTGCCTGGCGTTGCCTGGGAGATCGATCAGCATCACCAGTTGCCGACAAGGTGTCTGAGAGCCGTCCATGCCTTTGTTCGGGGGGCGAGGCGGTCTCGGCAGCACCTCATTTCCTGACTTTTTTTTCCCCCCAAAACGGGAGCTTTCCCCTCCTACAGTGGCTTTCTGAGGCCGTGCACACGTCCCAGGTGAGTTAGCATCTGGCTAGAGGGACAGGCACGGCCCTCTGAGAGCGAACCAGGTGTGTGGCCCGGCGTGGGGGGTGCCGGGTGGGTTGAGATGCCGCTCCAAGTGGCCTTGGTGGCTTCCTGGATGAAACCGGGGACCCATACCGGCCAGGTGGGCACAGCAGGCACATTCCATTGCTTCTTGATATTTTTTTTGATTGATTGATTGATTTCAGAGAGGAAAGGGAGAGGGATGGAGGGAGAGAGTAACGTCCATGATGCAAGAGAATCGTGCACGCCCCCTTCTGGGGATCGAACCCGCAACCCGGGCAGGTGCCCTGACCCGGAATCAAACCGTAGCCTCCTCGTTCATAAGTCAATGCTCAACCACTGAGCCACGCTGGCCGGCCCGTTTCCACCATCCTGACACCCACAAAGGACCACGTGCACCTGAGCGAATTTTTTTTTTTTTTTTTT